TTGGGGGGGGGGGGGGCGCAGCCGGGTTTTGTAAACACGTGTGTGCGAGCACGTGCTCGAACGTCACGCCATAACACTCTCAACCGTTGAGACGAGTACATCGGGAGTAGACTTGTTATTTTCTAAATTATTTCGCGCCGATTTTTAATACCGCATTTTTACCTCGCCATAATTAAGGCAATAATTAAAACAAATTAAGACGAGTACTCCTCACGCGAGCAGGTGTTGCGGGCTTTACCGCGTTTTATTTACTTTTTTACTTGTTAGATAGAGAAACGTCGCGATCAAGTTCTTCAATGCCGATCAAATATTATCATCATCCATTAATTAATCAGGTATTATTACTTCTTTATTCAGCTATGATTTAATTATTTCTTATTGCGCATTGGGAAGGAACTCGAGCGTGCCGTTATGAAATTTCTTTTCCTCGTTTTCCTCGCGTGTAACTAATTGATACTAAATTATTAAATTACAAAATTAAATTTCTGTCACAGAGATCCAATAGAGCAAACGTAGTCACGCGGCTCTAGGGGATGCGATACCTGGAGGATTCGGCTCGGATCTTTCTGAGTCGGCTCGAAAGTGAGCTTCACTAATTTGTATTTATAATTAGAAATCCGACAAAACTGAAAATTTTCTTGTTTGAAATCGAGTTCCTTAATGCCTCTATCGTCATGTAACTAATTAATATTCAATTAAATCTGTTTTTTGTTGTAGAGATGAGCACTCGACTCTAAGGGGATGCTGCGCCGGAGGATTCGGCTTGGGCCTGGCAGAGTTGGCGTGAAGGTGAGTTTCACTGATTTGAATTCTTAATTCCGATAAATCCGATAAACTAGAAATTCTCTTGTTTGAAATAGAGTTCCTTAACGCCTCCATTGTCATGTGATATTCTAAATTAAATCTGCTTTCTGTTGCAGAGACGAAGCAGACGACCAGTCGACTCTTAGGGGCTGCTGCGCCGGAGGATCCGGCTCGGGCCGAGCGGGGTTAGTTCGAAGGTGAGCTTTATTAATTAGCATTTGTAATTAGAAATCTAACAAGATTTATAATTCTCTTGCTCGAAATCGAAATCATTTGAATCGAATTAAAGATCGCATTAAATTGTAATTATACGCGGGGAAAATTTTTTCTAAGTAACATAACCACTTGAAAAATTTTGATTTGTTCTGATTAAGAGATTTATCTGTAACGTCGAGAAAAAGGAAAGTGAAATATTCCAAGTGTGATTGCATTCCGAAAAATTCATCCAGCGTGAAATATATCGCGCTTATTTTTTTTTTAATCCTTCAAACTTCTTCACTCAAGTCGACATCAATGCACGAATCTAACCAAAATGGCATTTTTCTGTTCCAGAAACAAAAGCAGAATGTGGCTACCCTGATCGGCGGTTTGGTGAGTCAAAACAAGAAACATATTGATAATAGAAAGATAAAAAGTTTTTCGACGTAGTGCATGCTTATCGAATCAATGCGATTTACCTTGCTGTAGTGTAGTATGTGTACGTGTCATCCAATAAAAATTACACTGCTCGAAACAATTGGAAGATAGCTTTTTCAAATAATAATATTAGTGATAATGCATATTTTACATAAATTTGGCAAATAAATTTTCAAGTAGTTTTCTCCCAATGTACATATATTTATTAATTGATTAACTTAGATTATTGATTGGTCGGACGATTTTTGTTGGAGGAAATTTTGATTACTCAAACCCCAACACTATCTGGTAGATACTTAATGTATTGAATATACGTTCTAAACATTCAAAATTTTGTAAAATTATTTAGTTTTATTGAATGCGATCTACCAGATGTCTCGAGCAGTGCGCCAACGCGCAAAGAGATTGCGTCACAGAAAATGCGCAATCACATCACGCGCGTTATAGATCTTGCGTCGGTTATTAATTTTCTCTCTCGCGTGAGCTTGAATCGTGATTGCATTTCATAAAGTAAAATTCGATTTCGTGCGGCACCTGCGCGAAGCGATCTAACGCGATCTAACGATAGTATAAATTGCAAAATTAATTTCACGATTGTAGGAAAATTTTTGGGTTTCAATTTTTCACTTAGAGTTAAAATTAAAGTTAGTTTCCTAACGCGGGACACAATAGAGATAATGCTAACGAGCGTTAATCCCTCGCGAAAAACGCGATGTACACTAGTCAGACATGCGAGTAGTTATTTGTTTATTTACGTGGCGCGCGCCAAGTTCCATTGAACGAAGACAGACGTCTCACACGGTAATATTTTTTTCGCATGAATTTTGAGTAGAATCTTTATCTCTATCATCACAATTTTCATAGTTTTTGATTTTTCATTCACGTTTGCGTTCGCGATTATTAGTTTGCGAATTTCACTGGATCGTATTTGCGGAAGAGTCGCGAGCGAACTTCGCAGAAATATTGCGGAGTTGTTACCCGCAAAAGCATTGCGAAGCTGCTATCCGCAAAAATATTGCGGAATTGTCTCCGCAAAAATATTGCGGAGCTGTTATCCGCAAAAATATTGCGGAACTGTTATCCGTAAAAATATTGCGGAATTGTCTTCGCAAAAGTATTGCGGAGCTGTTATCCGCAAAAATATTGCGGAACTGTTATCCGTAAAAATATTGCGGAATTGTCTTCGCAAAAGTATTGCGGAGCTGTTATCCGCAAAAATATTGCGGAACTGTTATCCGTAAAAATATTGCGGAATTGTCTTCGCAAAAGTATTGCGGAGCTGTTATCCGCAAAAATATTGCGGAACTGTTATCCGTAAAAATATTGCGGAATTGTCTTCGCAAAAGTATTGCGGAGCTGTTATCCGCAAAAATATTGCGGAGCTGTATTGCAGCCTACTTCGCTGCACTATCGAAACGTTACATTAGGGATATTTCGTGTCGTACGTGAGAATTTCGCACAGATTACTTCGCTCACGCGTCGAAAGATTTCGTGACATCAGCTTTCGCTTTGCGTGTTCCCTTCGCTCGCAGATTCTGTTTTCTTCGTAAGCAATTCGCGTCGCGGGTGTATCAAAACGATACACTATAACTCGATCGGACCGTTGCTGAATTCGTCACACATACTCGTTGTTTATCTAAAAGATCGATTTCCTCGAAGACGCAATTCGCGATATTTCGTACGCAATTTGCAACTCGGAGTGTATCCCTTAAGAGAGACGGGATTTTTCGTGAAACCTCCGTTAGATTACCGTGGTCGGGAGTAAATTACAGGCGACGTGGGACGCGAGGACCATTGCAGTGTCAGATGCAATGACGGATGGCTGGTGGACCCTGGACACCGTGGGACAACGCGCAATGGTGAGTGCTCAATTTAGACGCCCATATAGTAGACACAAAGCGTCACTTTACGTAGATTGCATGCACGTAGACGTAAATCGCATTGGGTCCAACGGGAAGTAAAGTAAGAATTGGAATTTGCAATTCGCCGGAGTTACGTAGAAATGATCCAACCAAAGAATTTAGCTTTGAGATTTTCGCAATAATTCAACGAGTCAAGTATTTCCATTTTTTTAATAGTACTGTCTAGCTCAATCCTTCCAAAAATGTGCAAAAAGACACGACTGGTAAAAAATAAAAAAACTGTTTCTTAAATCATTTCAAGCATCTATAAGGTTTGAATTTTTTTGTTTGGTTTAAAAAGATGTGAATGGAGTATCCATTGATAAAAGCTTATAATTTTTTTAATTGGATCATTCTTGCATAACAATGGCCAATTGAAATTTTGACTCGGCAAGCTTGCTTCTCGTCGGATTATTTCTTGATGATACATTAAACTGATATATTTCAACATGTCATATTTATATGCTCTGTATATGTTATATATGCTTGTTTTATGCTCTATATATGTTTTATATATATCCTATGCTCTATATATACTATTTGATTAATATACTTTATAACTTGTTATGTCGTATTATATACGACATATTATCTCATTGGAGATATTTTCTTATTCATACGCGTTTGTTGTTGACAAGACGACAAATTAAATTTCAATGGGGGGGGGGGGGGGAAA